GTCCTCCAAGTTACTTGTAAATAAGCAGTGGCCAGAATTGTTATCCGTCACATTGGACTTTTGTAATTCTAACAACAATGACGTATTGATTAGTGGCTTTAAAATTTTGGGGGGCATTTTGAATTGTATCCCTTACCAGCTGGAGCTAAAAAGAGAGGTAGTTTCTTCTGTCTGTATGAAAGGGTTAAATTCATCCGATGTGCAAGTTAGAGGAGAATGTATCAATTTGATTTCTTGTATCGTAGAAGATAACAACCCTGTGTTGGTGAAGTGTGTGCAGCCATGTATTCCACAAATTTTGCAGTCGTTAAGTTTGATGGTAAAAAATAGCAGCTCAGATATATCAGTTTTGGAAGAATGTGAAAAAGTACTTCAGGCGATTGGAAAAATGATCGATTATAATGCTAAATTTTTTGCCAAACATATTTCCAACTTGTGTGACATTCTGTTTAGCATATGTATGAAAGGAGATAGCGAATTGAATTACGATTTTGATAGCAGCTTAAAGTCTTTAAGTATTGAAGCGCTTATTACTATTCCTGAGAGGAGGCCCAAAATGGCTCTGTCCGTGCCCCGTTTCGTGGACAAAATAGTGCACTTGTCCATGTTATTTATGCTTGATATTAATAATGACTCTTTTAATGAGTGGATGAATTCTATTAAGGAAGGCAAAGACGACAACCAGGAATTGTATGATATAGGAGAAGAAGCGCTTGATCGAGTTGGAAAGGCATTTAGCGAACTGGAGGAAGCTGAGTTCATTCACATTTTGTACAATAAGGTGTCTGAATTTTTAATGAAAAATACATGGGAACATAAGTACGTTGCTATTATGGCCATAGCACAGACGATAGAATATTTGCCTGAGGATGAGATAGAAGATCAACTGGAGCATGTAATAAAGATGTTGTTACAAGTGTTGCTTGACCAGGATGTAAGAGTTAGGTATGCTGCTTGCCAAGCCATTGGTCAAATATCCCTAGATCACCAACCGTATGTTCAGAAGGAGTACCCTCGACAAATCATTACTGCGTTGATAACCACCATGAATGATGTGCATCTCAGAGTTCAATCACACGCAACTGCAGCTTTTGTGAACTACGCAGAGGAACTTGATAAAATGGCGCTACTGCCATTTGCAGATATGATAATTGATATCCTGTTACAAAAATTGAATTCATCGAATTATTTATTGGTCAGAGAACAGGCAGTTACCGCTATAGCAGTTATTGCAGGAGTGATTGAGGAGGATTTTCTAAAGTACTACTCCACTGTGGTTCCCATGATGAAGGATATCATCCAGAAGGCAGTTTCGGAAGAGGAAAGAACGTGTCGTGGCAAGGCTATAGAATGTATCTCCATTATTGGACTCTCCGTGGGAAAGGAAATATTTTTAGAAGATGCAAAGGAATGTATGAATGCATTACTTCAAATTAGTAGTACCAAAATGGATCCTGATGATACAGTTAAGGAGTATATACAAGAAGCAATTGGAAGAATATGTAGAGCTTTAGGAAATGACTTTTTCCCCTACCTGAGCAGTATCGTACCGACCATTTTATCCCTCTTAAGCATTTTGCCCAAACCACTAACTGATGATGAGGAAGATCTAACCATTACCATGGTTTCGAATGGTCAATACGTAGGTTTGAAAACGTCTCTTTTGGAAGACCAGGAAAAGGCTTTGGACCTCCTAATCATTATCATTGAGGTGCTTAAGGAGAATTATAAGGATTATATAGAAGCCACCGCCACAGCTGTTCTACCCATGCTGAATTACGAATTGTCTGATGAAATAAAACAGAAGGCTCTGACTGCAGTTAGTGAATTGATAGAGGCCGCCAGAATTCTTTCCGAAAAAACGGACAACAACAAAACTATGCTGCATGCTATTTTAACGGCGGCTGCGGAAAAGGTTTTGAAAAGTCTATCAGATACGAAGCTAGATGATAATTATGAATATATATTAGACGTAATGATTATTGAATCGAATGGGCTCTACATGTGTTTGCAGAAAGCGGGTTCGAATGTACTTCCCGATGGAACCTTGAAGTTATTCTTCAACCAAATTTTTAAACTACTACAATGCTCAACGGATAGAAGAGTGGTATATAACCAGAAAAAAAATAATGAAGATGTTGATGAGGACGAATTGTTGATAATTGACCGCGAGGAAGAGTTAGAGCAAAATTATCGAACCAACTTGTTAGACATTTTAGGAGTACTCATCAAATATCACTCCACGCAGTTCTTAAATACCTGTTGCGACATTTGTATTACCTTTATTAACACGTATATGAACTCTCCAAACGCGGAAGATGTTGCTTTAGCCCTTTACGTCTGTGACGACCTGCTAGAATTTTTGCAAGAAAACAGTGTGTGCTTGTGGGAGTATTTTATGAACGCACTGTTATTAAATATTAACCATGCGGATGACAAGGTAAAACAAGCCGCTTGCTATGGAGTAATTCAGGCCACCAAAATTGAAGCCTTCGGAAAGTATGCAAATGTAGCTGTGGATTACCTTTTAAAATTAGTGCAGCAGAATACTTCTGGTAAGAAACCAAAGGAGTTCGTTTCTGCAATTGACAACGCGGTAGCTGCCTTGGGAGACGTCGTCCTAATGCACACATCCAAATTTAACAATGCGGAAGAGCTCATAAAATTGTGGTTAAATAATTTGCCCATCAAAGAAGACGATGCTGAAGGTAGAAGAGTTCACAAAAATCTGATCGACTTAGTTTCGCAAAATCATCCACTCCTCTTTGGTAAGGATAATTCCAACACTGGTAAAATTATAGAAATATTTTTAACCATTTACGAGACGGACTTCTCTGACTCCGATTGCAACAAGAAGATTGCGTCCCTCATTAATTCGCTCGACCAGGCATACCTCAGCAACTTGGCTTCTTCAGCCTTGACCAACAAGCAAGCTAAGAAGCTCAACCACATTGTCAACAGCAACCGAAAGTAACGCCATGTAGGGAAGTGGTTCAGTAGGATCAGTTCAATGGAAGGAAGGTCTAGCAGTTCGAAGAATGAAGCTCCAAAAATGTGGGAAACACTCCACAAATGGGATGTCTCTCTCTTTTCAAAAATTGAAAAAACTCCAAAAAATTGTAAAATTCAAAAATAAAAAAAAAAATAATAAAATAAAAATAACCCCCCCAAAAGGCATAAAAGGCATATAAAGTGAAGATCTAGCGGATGCGTTGTGCAATTAACATTCTCCAAGTGTTCCTGCGCGACTGCAGGAAAATACCATGTGCACGTTTCTGGAAATTCTTTGGGTGTAGAAAGTGAACCATCACCAGAACAAAAGTGCCTCTCACCTAAGACGCATTAATTGTATGCTTGGGGGTTTCCATTTTTCTACTTTTCTACTTTCCACCCTTTTCATTTTTTAATTTTACCCTCTGTGCGTCCCATCCATCTGGCGTGCATTTTTTTTTTTTCCTTCGAAATTGTAGATTTAACGCAGTGGGGCTTTTACTATATATATATATGTGCTCATATATACATATATATATATGTAGTCACAGTGAGGGTTGTTTCCTTGCCCCTGTATCACGCACTAATTAATCATTTCTGTTTCCTTCTCCCCCTCTCCAGCACGCCCATGTAAGCAAGTACGCACACGCACCAAATATATATACATTTCGCTTTCCCCCTTGTACATATGCCCTGTTGCCACATGCGTCGAATATGTGTGTGAATGTCCCAGAATTAACGTTTTTTTAGCCCATTGTGCTTGCACTTTAATTTTGTGAAACTTCAGTTTATGCGTCTGCGCGCTGATGTATATATATTCATATATACATGTACTTATATATATATATGTATGTGTGCCTTTCTGTATATATATATGGTTGCATATGTCTTAATATGCACACGTGTACAGCGCACATATATTTATGTGCATTCTCGTTTTAACTTTAACAATTGTAAATAAAATTATAAAACCTTATTTTTAATTACTACAAAAGCTTTTTAACTGAATTGAGTTTTTAGCCCTGTGATATGTGCAATTGGTACAAAAATGAGCAAAGCGTCTTTACTGTATTTGGGAGGAGACACTCCCTTTGTTCTTTTGAAAGGGATACATTTTAAAAAAAAAAAAAAAAAAAGAGGAATTGTTCTACGCATTAGTTACGTAGCAAATATGTACTGAGCATTGTCCATTTACATGAAAATATGCAAATTGCTTAAAACAGAAAAAAAGAAAAAACTGTAAGATTGGGTTTTCGTATTTTCTCCAAGTTAAACCTTTGCTGTGTTAGAAATGGTGCGTTTCTTCTCCTTCCTTTGATGTCGAGGGGGGCATTTTTTTTTATTATTGAACAATTGCTAGGAAATTTAATTTGTAACTTTTGACCAAGTATGAAAGGTCATGTGAACAACTCAGACTTTCTTCCCCCCTCTGTTCGTAGGACCCTTTTGAATAAACCTGCTCTGGCGATATGTGTACGTTTCTTTGGGCCTTTTGGTGCAAGGGAGTCTTGTGAAGATGTGTGCCTTCACGTAAGCCGTGCCGCGGTAGCGGCGGTGTTACCTTCAACGTTAGCAGAACCAACATGTGAACCCTAAACCTACTTGCACATTTTTAACATCACAAGCGTTCTGCTGAATAATCAAAAAAACAAAAAAAAAAAAAAAATCGATTTTATGAAAGGAAATAGGCCAAGGAGGGGAAATAAAAATGTGCAAAGGAGTTCCCTTCCATTTGAAAAAAGCAGAAGTGACTAGAAGTTCTCTTTTTCACTTTTATGGAAAGAAAAAATGAAGGGCTAGCTTTTTTTTTTTTTTTTTTTTTTTTTTCTTTCACCCCTTTGAGAGCATAAGGATATTGGTCTGTTTGGCAACTATTTTATGTCCCCCATTTTTTCAGTACTTTTTTTTTTGTTTCCCCTTTTTCACTGAAATGAACGATAAAAAAAAAACATTGAGGTTCAACTCGGAAGAGAAGAGGCGATTCGACAGTTAAAGGTAGTCGACACACGATGGAGATGAGGAAAAGGAAACCCAAGGTTGTGTCGTCGAATGAAATTTATGAGTACCCCAGTTTTTTTAGAAAGAGGCAAGAGAGTAAGGGGAGGACCAGCAGAAATGGCAGAAGTGGAAGAAGTGGTAAGAACGGTGGAATCGTAGAAGTGGGCGAAGACGCCGATGACACACCTGATGAGGGCCACAAGAGGGAAGACGGCAGGGTACGAGAACCCCCACCGGTTGATGCTTCTGATAAATTGGCAACGGATGGAATGGACCATGAAATGGAAGACTTTCCAGGATCTGTCCAGTATGAAAAAAATGGACGTAGAAATGGACGTAGGAGACGGGGTAAAAGTGGAAAGCACTTGGGTGATTACCACTCAGGTGTGCCTAGCTGTGCCGAGAAAAAGAGCAACATTTACGACGACGCGGACGACGTTAATAATTATGAAAGCAAATTGAGTGAAGTGTCGCATGATCATCAGGAGCATTACAGTAATGACAGCCTTTTCGACCTCTCCTCGCCAAATGAAGAACATGAGCACAACTCTCTGTACACGCCGCGCAACTATCAGTCCAGGAAGAAAAAAAAAAAAAAAAAAACGAACCATGCAGTAAAGGGCTTAGTTGTAAAATCGAAATGTGGAAAGGGGAACAGGAAGAAACTGAAAAATGCCTTAAGTGATCGGGCTAGAGGTTTCGTGGATGAAGGACATTCCTTGCAGTACGACGTGGATTTGTTCCATTACTTGAGTTGTCTAAGCGAGAGGAAAAATGACGCACATGATTGGAAAGGAGATCAAACTGCACACGCCCTGATAAACCTCATCATAGACGAGCTTGTAAAGAAAACGTACCAGAAAAAGAAAGGAAAAAATTCCCCAGTGCAGACAAACAAGCAGTGTAACAACAATTCTGACGCAGCAATAAAAGGGTACCATGAAGAAAATAGTATCAACATAAAAGAAAAAATTTCATTCGAAACGATAAAAAATTATGATGAAACAAATTTAAGACACATGTTCTTTCTAGAAAATATTAACATAGACTACAACGGAAGGAAGGTGGAACTGTCCCCATTTAAAAGTACCATAATTGAGGAAACTGCAATGACGAAGGGCAGTCGTAAAGTGAGTCTAACTAAGCGCAGAAAATCGAGGACCAAAAAGGAGTCCAATATGCGCAACTGCGATAAGCATGGGAACACATCTCCATGCACACAGATGGAGAGGTTGAAAGTATGTGTAGAGCGCAAGGTAGATAATTTGCAAAGTTCACAAATCTACTTGAATGATCATCATTTTCCCCTTAACTCGGAAGGAATTCAATTTTTGTATTTTCTGCTCCTGTGCGATTGCTTATATGACGGTTTGTATGAGAACAAATCGCAGAAAGAACAGGAGGGAGGAGGGGAAGACGGGAACTCTGAGGAATGCACCAGGGGGAACTACTCACAGTGGGAAAATCAAAACGATGTAGATGGTGCATTGGAGAGACCAGATGGGGAAGACCTCCCCAGTGCATACATCAATGTGAAGAAAATAATGACAGGTATGGAAGCCGAAATGGTGAAAATGGGACACGAGCAAAATATCTTTTTAAGTCTTTGTGCCCCGATAGTTTACTTAGACTTCAGCAGTAGTGTCAATTTTGTGGACTACCTAAAGGAGATACTAGATGCGTCTCTAGCAAATGGGTCAACCATCTGCGATAATGGCAGGGTGGTTATGCCAAATCATAAGAACAGTGGGCGACAGGAAGCACAGAAAGAGCATGATCAGGAGGACCCCTTGCTGCACGATCTGATGAATGACTTGTTGAAAATGTGTGCACAAATGTTTGAGGGGAATTTCCTAGCCGTTAGTACATGCAGTTATCTAAACAGTTACATGTTTCTAAGCTCAGAGAAAAGGAGCCGGAATTTTATTTTTATATTTTTCGTATCGCCATTTTTCAGTAAGCCGCTACTTGTCGACATAGTGGAGGTGAACCATATGTGCAAGAAGGTGGAGTGGGTTAAGCTTCCTTGGGGGAATGGCCACAAGAAGGGTAGCGGAAGGGACAGTGGGGACTCCGCAGAAAAACGCACCGCAAAGGAAAGACGCGAAAGGGATCTGCACCTACTCCTCTGCCTAGGGGGGAACGAGATAAGCATCTACGCCATTCCCAAGCGCCACTTACTGCTCAAGTTATACGACTCGGCAAAAAATGAACCCACCTGTGCAGAACCAACAGAATACATAAAGCAAAAAATTGCAGACACGAAATTGGAAAAGGTTTTCTCATACCACGATGAAGAAGGGCTAAGCGATTTTTCCTACTCCATTTGTGTAAATGACAATCAGAGGTTTTTAAAAATTGCCTTAACATTTAATAGCACCAGAATAAAAGTGTTGAGTGTCTATTTGAGTGAGATAAGTAGATATGCAAAGATCACTCGCTTTATTGAAAGGGAGGATACTACGAATGCTTGCGTGCATACTAGTACGGATTATTTGCTTAGCCATTTTAAGAACCCCCTGGGGGATGGTACCGGTTTGGGGAAGGGGAGTAACCATAAGGGGGAAAGAGCACCAGGGGAAGAAGTACCCTTATCACCAGAACCTATACACACAAACGAATTTCCCCAACCAGGGCAAGATACACATTGCGTAGCTTTTCATGAAGATATCCTGCACCTTCAACAAGGCATCATATCCGTGTGCTCATTTTACCCGTGCCTGAATTCCTACCTCCTCGCTCTTAGCAGCAAGGAAGGAGAAATGATAATAATAGATATAAGGAACAACAACGAACTTTATTTTTGCAAACGGAAAACAGAAAGTGTTACTCACATGAGGTGGTATGAAAATAGCTGCTTGTCTTTTGGGCAGGAAAAAGGATGCATCATTCATCTGTTCGAGAATAAATATTTTTTAAATATTGATAAGGATTGGATCAGCCAAGTTGATATCATATGCATACATAGCTCGCTCCTCAACGACATGCATGTGTTTCTGTTTGATGATGGGACTGTGGTTAGGGGTAAGTTGAAGGGGAATTTGTCTAAGGCAAACATTAGTGAATTGTTTGTATGGAAGACGCCAAATTTCGAGCTAGATCCCGAGGTGCTTCTAAATATTAGCGAAGAGAAGGGAGATGAAACAGAGTCCGTGTCGCGTATACTGTTGTATGAGTACCTGCAGGGGTTACAGAGCATTTTTAGAAACGGGGTCAAGATAGGGAAGTCTAAGGCCGTTGAGGCGAATGCGCGCGAGAAGACGATTGCGCTGACGCCGAAGTGGTGAGTGAGCTGTGATTAATATGGGGCCCATTTCGACATAAGGAGGCACACTGCCACATATATACGTGTTGCTTCCATTCGCGAGTGCCCCCTTTTTGCGTACATGATGAAACATTCTATTCACCTCACTTTGTATGAATAATTATATGTCCCTATATTTTCCCCCCCATTTTTACAACTTTTCAGCGTGTCCATTGCGAACCTGGGCCAAAAGTATCTAATCGCATACGGAAATGGAAGCGGTTTGATTCATGTGTGTTCGAGGGAAAAGGAACTGGATGCGAAAAGCGTAGGGTGAGATGGGGTAACCTTTGAAGACACGCCTCGAAATAAAGTACCCCCTTGTTATTTAAATTATTTCATTTTTTTTTTCGTCGTGATGGTATATTCACATGGTACATGTAGATGTGTTTATTTTTGATTCGTTTTTTCTTATAAATGAACACATGTAGGAGGAACTTGTTTCCAAGTTTTGTCTTTTTTTTTTTTTTTTTTTTTGTAAATTTGTCATATGTTATATATTTGTCTTTATATGTTTTATTTTGAAGATTTTTTTTTTTGTTGTTGCAACTGCTCTTTTGAAGAGTGTTTCACTAATTATACGAATTGGGGTGGCAAAGCTGTTTGGAGGGAGTCAGTAGGTATGCAGGCGCGGGGACATATGTATGGGCATACACCTGATGGAAACCTCGGAGATACCAATTTGTATAAAATCATTGCCATAACTTTTCCCACTGTTCATTGATCTATTCCGATGAATCTCCCTCGCCGCGCACAGCAAAACTATCACGTCTCCGCTGGTAAAAATATGCTGACCCCCTATATCGAAGGGGCATACATAAAAACGAGCCGCTTTCTACATATAAAAATATACACATATGAAAATTTGTACGCTAATTCGAAAAAAAAAAAAAAAAATTGGCACTTGAAAAAAAAAGAAACGAATGGGGTGAGTACTCAAACTTCGATTTTGATGGACCCCCCAATGCTCTCCTTGGTTGACATGGCTCTTGATAAATTGCGATGGGCCTCGATGCATAACGAGCAGAAGTAGAAGAAAAGGAAAATGCACAGGTAGGTTGAGTCTCTGAGCATCTCGGACTCAGCCTTGGCGAATTCTGTAGAGGGAGGGGAGATGAGGCCGTGTGGAAATATAGAAGTGTACAAGGGTGGAAGTGAGGGAGCGGTGACGCGCCTTCATTTTTACCTGATGTAAGATGCAACTGGTGCGCAAAAAAGACAAAGGCGTACGTGATTAAGAAGCAACTTAGGAAGCCTAAACAGGAGGGAGAATATATTATTAATGGGAGGGAAGAAGCTGAACACTGGTGCAGTGTTATCATATTAGGCAATGCCATAAGTTTTATTTCCCCCCCTCTTGTCTGAAGCAGCAGTACCTGTAAACCCTTTTGCCATCATATTCTTTGAGTTCGAAAAACCGTTTAGGAAAAGGTATGTAAAACTCAGAATCAGAAAAGTGGAAAAAGGCACATAGGGGTTATCCATCATGTAGGTGTTTTCGTCCACATAATTTATATTGCTTTTGTGAATTCGAAAAACATCATACGCAACTAAGAGGACGCCTCCAAGCGATGCTAACAGTTTGTTTATTGCATGAGAGAGCTTCATCGTTCCGAGGCTGCAAAGAGGGGGGTGGGATTGTCCAACAGATGGTGTGTGTAAAACAGGGGGACATGCATAATTTATTGTTCGTCTGTGACAAATGTAGCGATTTCCGCGTACGACGTGGAGCTTTGTACATTTTGATAATTAGGGTCTACAAGGGAGGGATGTACTGTTTCTTCCCACTTTAAATTAAACTTGCTTTGCCAATTCACGTGGAACACTTTTTTTCAGTTGCTATTCAGTGAGTATTAATGTCCTTCTTATTAACAAAGGGGCATGGTCCTTAGCGTTTCGCTTCGTAGGGGGAGAAGTGCAGAAGAGGGGTAAGCGTGACTGTTAACACACATCCGTCTTATGCGTCCCTGCTTATCAGTTCCCTTTTCCTTTGCACAATCTGCAACCATGCAACACGCATTACGTACCGGGGGAACAAAATAAAACGAAAAAAAGGAAGAGCAACCGGGAAGCTGCGATTGTAGAATAGGTCCATATGAATACACTTTAAGAACAAAAAAAAAAATAATAAAATAACAGCTTTTAATTATATATCAGAGTGTCCTTCCATTTAGAAATAGTGACAGAACAAAAGTTGGCAAGAAATATTTTTGCGTGGCTATTTTTTTTTTTTTTTAAATAAACGTGTCATTTTTTCCTTTGTTTTTTTTTTCTTGCTACTCATTTGTGTGCTTCCCCTTGCTTCTTTGCTTGTAGGCACATGGATATACGAGATAGAGTGGTTGCCGTGGGGGCAAAGTTGTATACACATGCATGTGCGTACGCTCATATGCAGTTAAGCACGCACGTACGTCTACCTTCATGTGCATGGCGAACAGGGATGGACTCTCAAGATTTGATATTTCTATTTTATGCATTTAAAAATTGTGACTGTTGGAACAGCCCCGTTCTGAAGGCTCCCGTCCTTCCTTCGCATTGTTATGGTGTACAGGTGGGGCAACAATGGGAAAATCACATGCAAGGACAAGCGACCTCACACATTTACATGCACATGTAAATATCTGTGGAGCACCGCGCCTGCTATGTGCGCACATGGAAGAGCGCACTGATTATTCCTTACAAATTAAAAATTGATAATAGAAAAATAAATTCTGCGTTGATGTGGGTCTTTTTCCTTTTGCGTGGTGTAATATTTGAGTGATGTTCCACAGCATTTCCATCACATTTTTTTTTTTTCCTTCGCATGGAGGTGGCAAAGAAAAAAAAAAAAAAATACAAAAAAATAAATCCCGTTTGGGGAACGCATGGGTGGCAGCCTCCATAGAAATGGAGCTAAACATACACAAGTAGTACAGTACATTTGAGCGCTCCCTGGGGAAATGCACAAATGTGGCAAAACAAATTCACTTCCGCTATCCTTTACTCTTCATCCATGTCACAGAAATACTGCTGTAGTTCGAAAATAATATCTTCCGCTTTTTTTCTCCGTGCAGAATGGCTGCTGCAATTTTGATTTTCCATTTTTGCTACTCTTATTTTTTCGACAATCCTGTTGAAGTTTTCCATGAACAGTTTTTCTTTTTGCCCTTCGGGGGTCTTGGCACCGTCATCCACGTTGGCCACATTCGCCACATTTGCCACGTTTCCTTTTGGATCAATTTTAGCTTCTGCGCATGGTGCATCTTTACCATCCTGGGGCGTCTTCTCCCCATTGGGGGCAATTTTACCCGTCTTGGGGTCTTTTTCCGCGCCTGAGACAGCTTCATCCCCCTTGAAGGTTTGACTCATCGGGAAGTCGCCCTTATGCTGAATGATCAAATGGTCCCGTTTAATCTGCAGCCCCTTCCACATATGGCAATGCAGAGCTTCTATCAACCTTTCGTCATCATTTTGATCTTCAAAATCTCTTAATCGAATGTTTTCCTCTTTTACATTTTGGTTTTCATCATCTGGACAATTGGATTCCCCCTCCCCATCACGTTCTGCCAAAACATGCGACTCATAATTTATGTACAAACATTCAATAAAATAGTCGCTAAAAAAGTTAAGAATATCTTTATTGTCTTTTTCAAGAGATGAAGGAAAAATGGCAATTTTAATTCCCACATCTTTATACATATTTGAAAAATCGAAATTGGGATTTCGTATCATTTGTTGGCTCTTTGGATCCTTAACGTATTCTACACACTCCTCATCATATTTCCTAAATGGGTTTGCATTAACAATATTTTTTTCCTTTTTGGTGAAATGGTCAAAGAGAAAAATGACGCTTTCACAAAGGATATCTTTAGCGTCTAGTTGTTTGGCCTGGTTCTGCGCCAACGGTTTTACTTCAACAGCCCCTTCCACATTTGGCAGATTTTCCTTCACATGAGTGTCATGCTCTTCAGATTGAACCACGCATGAAGAAATAGTAACCTCTGCGTTGTAGTACTTATTTACAATGGCTACCTTGACCATCTGTTTAAAAACAAAAGAGCAGCCATTGTGAGAATCATTCTGGTCAAATGTGAGGTTATACGTATCTGCCTTTTCGTAACTCTCCAGGGGTTCAAATGTGTTCGTCAAATATGACACAAATTTGTTTATCTTCTTTTCATCATAGGATAAGATAACGATGTGGGGGGTTTGATTCACCATGTCGTGCTTGTTTTCACGTTTTCTCATTCTGGGGGGTAGAGGAGTTTTCCCCTTTAAAGGGATTATACTGAGTACTGGTGGTTAGAACCGCTAATGAAGCGTGGTTGATGCGTGATTGAGGATGAACGAAGACGTACCAACCTAACTGCTCGTGAAGAACAGAGCCACCTTCACCTGGCAACGGAGTAGTATATTTCGGTGGAATAAAGAACAAAAAAAAAAAAAAGTTCGCTTCGTTATTTGCTTACAACATGTATAGTACGTCAGTGAGAATCCATCGTGAAAACTAAACTGCTCCGCTTGCATTTTCACTCCTTCGCGAAGTTACAAAAAAAAAAAAAAAAAATCACCCATTGTTTTCTTCCCATTGAAGGTAATTAGCAACTTAAAAAACATGTTTTTTTTTTTTTTTTTTTTTTTTTTTTCCTTCCCCCGATGTGAAGTACATCTCGCCTAATTATTTTCCTCTTCCGTTTAAGATGGATTTAAGATCACGTCGAATCATCATCTCACATGATGTGAACAAAAACTGGGTTTATTCTCCAAGTCACGATTTTTCCCAAAAGGATCAAGCTAGTCCCATTAAGCATATTTGCTTCATGTGCACGCTACTCCTACACAGGTGCGTGTATGTAGGGGAAGGAACAACTTTACACAACATTCCCCAAAGGAATCAATTTTTAAATTATAAGGGGTTAAGTGAGTTCGTGTACATTTAGCCCTGTTGATGGAAACAAGGGAAGGGACCGGGTAGAAATGGCCAAATGGAGGTAATTTACGCCTTATTGAGAATAATTGTATTTACACCCATGTGTTGGCCTCTCTTAGGACAAAGCTCCATGGTTGCCACCTCCCTGATAGGTCTTCCTTTTTGAATGATCCTATCATGGGGAGAGGGGAATATTTTCACACTGAGGGGATGTTTTTTTTCCTTTTTAAAATGGAGGAAGTTGACGACAGACAGGCATTTAGTGTTAAAAAAAAAAAAAAAGAAGTAAAATAATTAAGCTGTCACAAAAATGGGACATACGGCGATAAATTAAAATGGCCCGTATATATAATTTAGACCCTCCGAGGGGGACTATTCTTGAGAAGGTCAACCCCATCGATGGCTTGGAACAAAGAGGTGGCAATTCCACGGGGGTGGGATAGGCCAAAAAATACATTAAAAAAAAAAATCATCAAATTGGGAAGACAAGCCAAAAAAAAAAAAAAAAAAAAAAACAGTTCATTGCCCCGCTTAGACAGGGCATATTCGACCATCTAACATATGCGCATATATACACACCGCAAATTCGCCCCTGGTACAAATCTGCTACATGGGATATAGTGGTGGTCACATGCAATTTGCTCACCTTCCATAGTTTCCACTTGACCGCCCCACATGAGCAAGTGAGGACGGCGGAAGGGAGAAGAGAGGCGCTGGTTTCCATCCTCACTTTTTCACCAACTGAACAACATCCTCATCATTCAGCTCGTGATCCTTGCCAACCTTCTGCGGGTTATGTTTGACAGACTTTCCCCAAACTAGGGCATACTTCAACTGGTGCACTAAGGACCTATGAATTTTTTTGCAGAAATTTTCTACCTTGGATCTATCCTTCTTTAAAATAACAGGAGATTCATAGTCAGGAATTTGCCCTTTAGGTTTGGTGTAAATTCTAACCAAGTCTAAGTAATTCCAAATGGCTTCCAACAGTCCATCTAGATTCCATTCCAAGTGAGCAGAAATGGGTACATTATGAGGCAGCCTCGTAACAATTTCCAATTCCTCTAATGTGATTTGATCTACTTTATTTAAAACGTATATACAAGGAACATACAATCTGTTGCCTTCAATGACGTCAATGATATCATCTACAGTGGCTTCACATCGTATGGATATATTTGCATTCATAATTCTATACTCATGACATATGGACTTTATCATGTCCTCGTCAATATTGTTTAATGGTACTGTGTGGGTGATGTTGATTCCTCCTTTGTCTTTCTTTTGGAAAATAATATTTGGTGGTTTTTTATTTAACCTAATTCCAAACCCTTCTAATTCCTTTTCAATTATTTTTTTAAAAGTCAAGGGTTTTAATACATCTAATACTATTAGAATGAGTGAGCAACTTTTCGCTACTGCAATAACTTGTTTTCCTCTTCCCTTTCCATCTTTTGCTCCCTCAATTATACCTGGTAAATCTAGTAATTGCATTTTTGCTCCTTTATATTTGAAAATACCTGGTACACATGTCAACGTTGTAAATTCGTATGAAGCCACTTCTGAAAATGTTCCTGTTAGTTTGTTGAGGAGGGTAGATTTTCCTACTGATGGGAAACCTACTAGACCTATTCTTGCATCTCCTGTTTTGGAAACATCGAACCCTTCTCCTTCTCCGCCTCCTTTTGTCCCTCCTTCAATTAGCTGTGCCTTCAACTTGGACAGCTTCGCTTTTAGCAAACCCAAGTGGTAGTTCGTCGCCTTGTTCTTTTGCGTCTTGGCCATTTCGGCCTCGATGTCAGCTATCTTCTGCAGGATAGACATTGTGCTCTAGTGGAGGGGGGAGCTTCAGTAAGCCGCGAACGTGGGTAATGCTGATAGGTGACAACCTATAATGTGTTCAGTGATTTCAATTTTTCTTTTTTTCCTTAACACGGAAAAAATGCAGATTTGTTTTTTGTTGCCAATCTTTTCCCCTATGCAACAGTTTTGATAAGATTCTCAAAATGAGATAAGCAACGAGGTTATGAATATTTTTATATTATCGAAGCTGAACTTAGGTCTGCTTGTCAGCAGGATTTCCTCCTTCAGTTAGATGCTCGTTTGGCTAATTTGCTTCTGCTAGCCCGGTTAACTATTCCTCAAAGGGTCGCTTCTATACTGGGGACTCATAACCACGGTTTGCAGTTAACTCGGGGGAGCAGTAATGGGTGAGCCCAAACAAATGAGGTAAGAATAAGAAGCGGGAGAGGGGTTCGGGTCATTTCACCCTTTTCTTCCTTCCACTTTTTCCTTCTGATAAATAATTGTTGCCTAGAAATGTCCAAATGATCATTATCCCCTGCAACTGCGTTTTTTTTCCCGTTCGAAAAATGGCATACAAAAGCAAAAAAAAAATATATATATATATATATATATACCAAAGGGGAAGAGGAAAAATGGCAACAGAGAAAAGGAAGCCTCCAAAATAAATCAGAAAAAAAAAAAAAAAAAAAAAAAGGAAAAACAAATAATCATCTGCTTATCTAACCGCGTATATTTCTCATAAGTGCATTTTTGATAAGAGTCAGATGATTGCAAAAGTATAAAGTGATTCTAGTGCGCTCAGGACAAAAAAAAAAAAAAAAAAAAAGGCCAACACGCCGTACATTGATATAATATATACATTCATTGGGGGTTCTATTTTTTTCCCTTGTTTCGCGGAAAAAAAAAAAAATGTTACAAAATTAATTTTCTTTTCTTCTCCCTCTGTATTTTTAAAACTCATTGTGGGTGTGAATAGGACCATATGCAGAAAGCAATATTTATGTATGTACATTTTTGTATACCTCTGCGCCCGTTGTATATATATGACTGCCTGTGCGGCTTGGTGGGGCCGCAGATAAACTGAGGCGAAACGCCAATTGTACTTATGAGCTTTCCCAACATATATGGGTTCCCCTTGTCAGTTAAGAACTACCCAAATGTGCTTTCTTGCCCCCCTCCGTTCGCGATTGCATTGTGGCTGAGCATATATATATGTATACACCCACCACCATGATCCAGTTACACAACGCGGTTCAACACTATTACCGCAGACATGGAGCAAACGAATATTTCAGGAAATGTGAAACTGTTTTTCATTGTTCCTAATCCTTTCTAAATCCTCTAATCTTTTTTATGCATCTATTGCAGCTCTGTTGAACCCATTTTTTGTATGTAATCATTTGGTCAAACAAAATATATCACATCATGCAGCGTCTGAAACAGTACTACTTGTAGAGCATACACATTTGATTAAGCATTTTTTTTCCCCCCCTTTCTTTGTATCTCCTCGTCTTCTTTTAACAACCCACGCGAAGTGAACAATTTGACGACGCACAACATGAAGAAGCTTGCTCATTGTAATATTAGGAGTTAAAAGAGAAAAAAAAATGCATATGGAAAGTTAGGCAAATGTGATAATTTTCGTTTTAGTATTACGTGGACAAAAAAATCCCGATGAAAAAGGATACAAAGACAGAAGCCAAGTGTCGAATGAAAATGGGGAGAAGACCTATTTGCAGCTCAGTTCTTCCACCTGATCAACTGTTCCAGCCTTTTCGCACTTTTCCGGCGCACTGCATGTAAACACCCTAACTGGTTATCCGTCCATGCATGCGTCGTAAAGGCACAAAGAAGCGGTCTCATTTTTTTTTGCGAAACGTAAGCATGTATTCACCACGCAAAAGGGGTAACAAATAATACTAGCAAAATTGCTACCCGTAATTTTGTCATACCACTCCAAAAAAAGGAGAGCGTAATTATACACTTCAGCATGTGTGATGCGAATTTTTTTTAAAAAACGAAAAATCCCATTTGTGAATTTGATTGGATAGACAGATCAGCTATTTGTGTGGTGCGTGCATTTGCGTTAAAGGGGAAGACAGTGAGGGAATACACAAGGATAATAAGCTAATCAGTACGTCACTCGGTGCACTCCCCCTTCTCAACTGATCGCTAAACACTCGGTCAACATGCAGACTGGTGTGCAGGAAAATAATGAGGAGGTCGAACTTGCGCGCCACAACGTGTCCCTCTTTGAGCTGTCAAGCGAAGCCAATTTAAAAGTAAACATCATAAACGACGACCAGCAGCTGGTAAATCATTACAAAAGGAAACTTGCAAGTAAAAAAATGCAAACGGTTAAATATTTTGATATAGATATAACGGATGATGTAAAGGACATTAAGGATGCTTTTTGTAACCCCATAGGATTGAATGCTGAAGACCATGAGGACGATTACTTTGAATTTAAAATTAAAAAGTTTATGTCCTCTTTCGGTGAAGACTCTTACGCAAGGAAAGTTCTTTTGAGCGATGTGGACATCACAGTGAATTGCGTCTCCGGTGGGGACAAGCCCGCGGGGGATGGTGAAGCTTAGTCAAGACGGTGAGATCAACTGAGGGACACACCTGGAACAGGATTTTTTTGTTCTTCCCTGGCTTTATTCTAAAAGGAAGAAGCAGTCGCCTTTATGGGCTGGAAGCAAAGCCTTAGGTCAAACTTTAAACAGCGAATCTTAAATCGGATTATACCCAACCAAGTGTAAAGAAATATATGCTCTCTTTATATAAAGGGGGGGAATAAAAAAATTGTCAAACATCCTGCACACATTTTGAAGGAACACAACCTCGTGTGCGTGCTTCTTTCCATGTTGGAAGTAATGGCTATGTTTTCTAGTTGTGTAATATGTACACAGGGCTAGCTAAGTCAGAGATTTTTTTTTTTTTTTTTTTTTTTTTTTTTTGGCTATTTGTTTTGCGTCTCATATCAACCGTAATCAGCGTAAGGGCATAAAGATATGTATGCAAGTTTTGACCCATTCCCCACCTAACCTTTTTGTTTAATTTTTTTTTTTTTTTTTTTTTTTTTTTGTATTTGGCTATTTGTTTGCCACAGTCCTGCGATTATGCTGACTGCTTCGTATGTTTCAGTTACTCCTCCATTTTCTTGCCCGATTATTTCTGTTTTTCCCACCTGTACATTTATCAACAGGGTTTTTTTTATCAACATAATTTTGCCTTATCGACAATTTTATGTGTAACTTCTCTTCATTTTTTTTTTCCAAACGGGATAATCTCGTCGCGCAAGCATTTTTTTTAAACACAATGTACACTCGTTAGTAATTTCCTTTACGGACTTACCTTAGGGCACTACTTTGCGTTCCTCCGAATGAACCCCAGGTAGCATTTTCGATCAGATTATGCCGGGGGCACAAGATAACAACGAGGCGCAAACATACTTGTGAATGTGTTCAAGCATACATGCATTTCCCGGCGTATACTTCCACCCCACACGGATACACTTCAGTCGGATGGAAATGCGTCACATGGGATGGAGGCCTAGTTGACTAGTTGAATATTTGCTTCACCAGTCGAGCCGAGCCGGGGGTCAGTCGGTGAAGTTAAGCGAAGGGAAACGCTAAGCGGCAAACCATGTAAGGCCACCGGAAGGCGCATCTTGAATGATGTGTAAGGCCGTTTGGCGAATAGGAAGAAGACCTTCGTCATTAAGCGGTACCTCCAAGCATTGCGCTTCTTCGCCATTTCGACAAGGTGCCTCCCCCCCTTCGTCAGGCAATTTTGCCTACCTGTTCAGCATTTGCCCATAGGGGAAGGGAACAGTCATATAGTGTAGCGCCCTTTTAAACACCCAATCAGGAGGGGAAAATAATAAAAAAAAGAACAGAGGTAAAATGTAAAAATCGTCTCAAGTGAGTAATTATACAGAACGCACACCCTTAGGGAATTCTCCACCACCACGAGGTGTAGCATCTCGAATCGAAGCAGCACAGTGCTCAGCAGCAAAATTCAGCTGCCCCAGGAGTGACGATTTTGTCACTTATACATACGATTAAATCCAGTAGCAGTGACAAAAAAGAAAAAAAAAAAACGAATTAAAAATGCATAATTTTGAAGAATGAGTAATAAAGAAAGAACATATAAAGCGCTGGTCAGAAGGAAAGCCAAAGTGTGCGAGGGGAAAAGGACAAAGTTGAGGAATACACGACCAGGCAAAGTTAGCAAGAGGGTATTCTGGCTCCTGTGCTTCACATACCTAGTAGCATACTTCCTGGGAGGTATCAGCTGCTTGACATTTTTGAAGAGACATAATAAGATGAGCTATATTTACCTTATATATAGCGAAAAAAGAATCGGTGATAATCATCGTAGGAAAAATTATTTAAATTATAAAAATGGAATCATTTTGAAAAAAGGTGGATCTAATGGAAGACACAAATTTACCTTAGGTAGCGAAAAGGTAAATAAAATTATTGAAAGTTTGAAAGAGCTAACATTGTTGGAAGCAAGCGAACTAGTGAAACAAATTGAAACGACGTTTTCAGTGGACACCAGACAGAGTATGGGTGCTTCTAGCAATGATCAGGACAATGCAAAAAATGCAGGTGATGCAAACGCTAATGAGGAAGAAGATGACGAAAATAAGGTCTACGATTTGATTCTAGAAAATATAGAACCCAATAAAAAAATTCCCATCATTAAGATCGTTAAGGAGATTAAGAAGGATCTCAATTTGAAGCAAGCCAAGGATTTGGTGGATAATTTACCCCAAACCCTTTTCGAAAAAATTAACAAAGAAACGGCTGATAAGTGGAAGGCCAAGCTTACGGAGGCTGGGGGCATTGTTAAGTTGAAGTAGCTTCGGTGATGGGTTGTCAATTTTGTTTCCAAAATGCTCCCTTTATTAGTGTGTGCACGTAATGTACATTCATATCCCTTACTTTGCTTCCCTATTTTAGGAGTCTTTTTTTTTTTTTTTTTTTGTCGTTTATGTGTTTGCTACACACGAAGCGTACGCTATGTTGAATACGAGCAGAATGAAGCGCCACTTTTTACATTCATTGGTTGCTCTCGAAAATTACCCTCCTGTACGCAGTATTCACGCAGGTTGTTGTCTATCCATAAGGGTGCCCATTTGGAAAAAGACCGCGTGGGGGGGTCCACACATAGGATAGCCATGTGTGTATTATTTATTTATTTATTCATTTTTTTTTTTTTTTATTTTCACAATTGGTTTTCTTTTCCCCACTTTGAATGCCCCCCTTTGGCATTCATCAGTCCTCCTAATGTGCCCCCGTCGCCTTTGTACGCATTTTTTCTCAAAAATGATTTTTTTTTTTTTCAGTTGTTTTTTGAAAAACGAACATTTTCAACAAAATGGTGTTTCCATTTTGTTTTTTCAATCGCACCCCGTTGTGTTCACTACCATTTTACATAGCACGTGGAAATTAAAAATTTGAGAAATGATAACGTCGTGAGATTGAAGTTGGGAGGAGTAAAATGTGAAGGTCAATTTTGCGGCGCGAAATTGTGCAAAAGTTGAGGATTAATATATTTTCACGGTGAAAAATGTTAACGCTAAGTGTTTCAAATTATGAACTTCAAATTATGCGCTTCATAATAAAAAACAATTCCTCTGCGCGTGAATGAAAAAGATTGAAATGGAAAAAAAACACAGCAAGGGGTCAGCGACGATACACATGCATATGTTTATTCAATTATGTGTGTATGCATGTACTTATGTATGTCCCTTGCTTAAAATGTCTACATTAGAAAAAAAAAAAAAATAAATAAAAATAGCAAACCAATAACGGCTAACCAATTAAAGTGCACGAAAAATGCTTCTTTTTTCAAATTGCTTGTGTTAGCTTAGCTGATTATGAGAGTGCTTGTTTAAAAGGTGAAATATGTCTTGGGGAAAATCTTCGCACGGACACGTCTTGGAGGGTGGCAAAATCTGTGGCTGTTGGCGGCATCTCTGCGGCCACCCATGCAGCTGCTCCTCAGACAAATTCTCCCACCGCTACACCACTTCGACATCGCCGACCCACCTTTTCACCCTTGGCTCAAGAGTCACTTCCAATCGCATCGCTGATATGTCAATTCAACTGGGGGACATTAGCTGCCTGCTGTGCCTGCAAGAACTGGGCCTGCATTTCGAACAATTGGCATTCCTTCTCGTATTGGAACGCAATAGGCGTAATGAGGACGACCACAGATACCCCCGCAACCCACACCACCCAAGATGTAGTTTTAAATCCCTTTTTCAATAAACCATTTATTCTATTTTTCAAATTCCTTAACTTTTGTTTAAATCGCACAGTGTCCTTTTTCTGAAAATTTAGCAAGCCATTTTTCGAAAGCAATAATTGCCCCTCTTCATTATTTGTGGAAATTTTGGAAAGTACCATTCCCATTTTAAGGTAGAGCACAAACAGGTACAGATTGTACGCGTCTACTGTCGATTTGTCTTGTTGGAAGGTGTTGTAATATGCCCTATGATATATATGATGTAAGTACATACAAGTTGGTTAGAAGTGGATGTAATTTGACTTGGTTTGTATGCTTAAGCAAGTTCGTTTCTGGCTCAGGGGCGCCTTCTTCGAGGGCGTATGTGGGGCGATCCTCTACTGCTGTTCCTGTTGCTGTTCTACGGTTGACATGCGGATTTGTGCGCAACGTTGGAATATGCAAATGTACACACATATGCACGTATATGTGGTTGCTAAACGGGAATGAAATGGAAGATTCGAATTTGTAACATTTTTACAAGGGAAAAACGGAGAGGTAGCCAAGTTAAAATGGTGTATAATAATCTTGTAAAATGCCAAACTGAAAAGGGGAAAAAAAAGAAAAATGCGTTGCTATATTTATGTAGAGGGCACAACTCTTATTTGGAGATGTTTTTCACCACAAAAATGACTAAACAAAACAGATGCGTTTTTTGAGATGTTATTTTTATGTTGCATCTCACAATCATCTTGTTTTTTTTTGTGCATACCTTTGTCTTCAATATTAGGAATTATAAAAAAAAAAAAATAATAATAATTTGTGCCAAGGGAATTTAACACTTGAACAGTCGCAGGGGAGCGCTACTTTGTTATGAACGCCTGGGAAAATTATACCCACAAGGATGACATCATCATGTAAAGGTAAAATAAATACATATTAATATAATTATGCATATGCTTATATCTGTTTATATATTCATTTACGCATATACATTTTTCTTTAAGGAGAAGATAAGAATTCAGAAATGCTCCTTTTTTTTTTTATGTTGCCTCTTGGAGTTGCACTTTTGAGGGTTCTTTTTTTTTTTTTTTTTTACAATTTTTTTTTTTTACAATTTTTTTTTTTTACAATTTTTTTTTTTTGCAGCGAGAAATTTTTCAGCTTGGCTCCGTAAAAAAATGCCCCAATATGCATTTGGTCCTTTGTATTGCAAAACATACATCACAGTTGTGTTTCAGGTAGATGTTTTTGCACGCTTGAACAAGCGCAATAGAATGGGGTGCACGCACGTTTTCAGGGTATTACATGCCTGTGTTAAAATATATTCACATATAATATTCACCTACGCGTATCTGCAACGAGAACGTAACAGCACAGGGACGTGTTGCTTCGAACACGAGGTGACGAAAAAACATATACACGCAACTAATGGTACAGTGTGCTGCCGCCCTTCATTCCTATACTATATTTTGCGCTTTGGAAGGAATCTCTTTAAGTAGAGGGAAAAAAAGACCCTCAATTTTGCAAATCGAAAAATAAAAATGATTCAACACAAGTCCAAATTTGTTGGTCCCTTTTTTTTTTTTTTTTTTTTTTTTTGCACCTTTTGCGAATTATTGTTAGGTGAGAGAAAACGGGTTTAAACAATGAGGGGCAGGAGAGGTGCAGAAAGGAGACGAATGATTTGTCATGTCCCTTTGGGAGGCGTTACATAACTAGGCGTGACTTCCTCCCACCAGTTAGCAGCAAAGAAATGTGAGGTATCTTTCTGAAATATGTGCATCGACAACATCAGATGTGTGGTAAGAGGCCAGATCGGAAAAAGGGTGCAAAAGGAAATGTTGCAATGGGGATTTTTTTGTCTTCGCCTGCATTTTCGCACATCCGCGCGCACATAGCTGTCCTTTCCCCTTTTCCTTAAATGTGTACTAGTACATGGCACTGCAAATGTTATACAAATTTCACTTTAAAAAATTTAATCAAAATTTCGTGAGTGTGCGCCTCATCCGTTGTTTACACGCTGTTATTGAGAATAAGACAAAAAAAAAAAAATCTTATAAAATAAAGTACAAACGTAATGCCCTCTGCACCTCAGCAAAAGTACTCATCACACAGGAGGAATAGCACTCTCAGGAGTGAGTCTTGTGGGGACAAAAAAAGGGAGGAGCCAGGGGGCGGTTCATAAGGGGAACTGATCATGTGATGGAGTCAACACATGGAAAAATTGTGATATGAAAAAATTGCCACATAGAAAAGGGCCACATGGAAGAATCCCCATATGGTCACATTTCCAAACAAACAATGACACAAACGAATGTGCGCGCCGCGGCGAGCAAACGAGCGGATGCATAGACATGGGTATACTCCCAAGCAATTGCGCGAGATGTCTCCCGCGCGGGTGAATCAAAACTGAGGTGGACAGATAGCACCCTTCTAAGGTTCTAAATTTTCATTGATAAAAGCAAAGGACTCCTTCTTATCCTTGTCATGGAAAAACATCAAGTGAGCCAAGTACCTGTTCCTGTGCATGTTTGTTTTACACAATACACACATGACTGACTTGGACCCGCAATATTTTTCATGCTCCGTGTCATTTATATATTTAACAAAGTACGAAAAATTCGTATGCAGTAAGTGCATATAATAGGGGACAGATTTGGACGTAAAATTTTGCTCTTCATCAAATTTGTCTAAAAAATTTGCCAAAATATAATCTTCATTGTATACATTTGTGGAGGATGTGGTAAATACGTTACAGTATGAACAGAAAATAATTTTCTTCGGACAGAATAAGGCTTGATGGAAAATAAATTGTTTTTTATAAAAATATTTTTCACATGCACATTTTATTTTTGTGTGCCATGTGTAATTATGTTTCTTCCTGTCGGATGTATTTATGCCTTCATTACATATGTTACAATGGGTATGATTGAAAATATATTTTTTGGGGAAACTCTTTTTGCATATATTACATAAGGAGATATTTTTGAGGCAGTGAATTTGATGCATGCTTATGTTATTCTCAAGAATCTCTTTTAGGCAATTGTTACATTTTATGAATTTTTGACCGCTGCTCGAATGTTCGGTTGGCCTCATGGCTGTGCTGACCGTGGGGGGGGCAAGCTTGCCCTGTGCTTCGCCCCCTTTAGGCGCCTCCTTCTCAACTTCATTGCTGACTTTCATCGACAAAGTGTAATCCACTTCCGTTTCGGATGAACACGAAATGGCAATGTACATTAGGTGGGGGAAATACTGATCGTATAGGTATTCAAGGAAGGGGTCTTCCTTTAGGTGAGGCGCACTTGAAGTCACACTTTCCGCATCACCCTCTGGAGGAACTCCATCCCTGTGGCCATCTCCACTCTCCTTCGCAAAGCAGGCAAAGTGCAACATCAAGGACTTGATCATCAGGTCCCTATTTATGGTGACATCTTTAGTAAGATCGTCAAAGTGCAAATGGTGCAGGACATCCGACACGGAGTCGTACGGAGGAAAGGACACATACAGATCAAGATCATTATGTGCACCATTGGAATGCAGCGAAATGTTTAGTTCAATTTTATCCTTCTTGAGCAAATCCAAAACAGAGTAATGGAAAAAGTATTTATATTTTTTCATTCCTTTTCTAATAGTGCTGTTAATGGTCACATCTGTTGTGTTTATGGGTTCATAAAAGTCACTTAGACAATTTGAAGACTCGTCTTTTTTCTCACCTACATTTTTCCTTTCACATATATCGACGGTGATATCAGTATTTATTAGGGATACGGCATTATCTGGTTCTAACTCACTTATGTAGAAGCTTAAATTGTTAATATGCACATAATCGCCCAAGGTCAAGGTACTATAATTTAAGTTCAATTCATTTTGTAGTAAATTTTTCATAAATTTTATATTACTGGTATTTTCATTTAATGATTCAAATTTGATAAAATCGCATTTGGGTATATTTGCATAGGTTACTAATAAGCGTACGATTCCGCTGTTCTGTTTGATGCCTAAATTTTCTTTTACATTTTCTGACACGTGTATAATTCCTTCGTTTGAACTGAACTCTAAAACGCACACATGCGTGATGTAGTTGTTTTGTACGTTTTTCAGGCTGAAGGTGTATGGGAACTCCACTTCGTTTCGGTAGAATCCCTTCTCGAGCGTTTTCAAGATGGACACTGGCTGAACGGCAGGGGTGGATGGGCAAGTGCACATGTGCAGTGTTCACGTATGTACGTCTGTACATGTGTGCGTGCATTGCACAACAACGGGGGGAAATATTTCCCCCCTACACATATGTGCGCATTCGTCCCCTCTTCGTAGCTCCCCATTTGTCACTTCCGTCTCACCCTACACACCGTTCTCACACACCAAATGGAGCTACACCCCACCGAGTTGTACATTCAAGCGTGACATTAATTACATCATAAGTTCAAGTAATTAAAGAGCTATTTATGAACGCACTAAAACTGTGCAAAATAGAGCGCGACGAGAGTATCCACTTGCAATGCACTGTGGCATATGCAAAAATGGAAACCGCCGCCCCCTCATCATTTTGCCTTTTACAGATTTGCTGTGCGAACATCCGTTCCCATTTGGGTCGTTAAGGATTAGCTCGACGAAAATGGGGCGACCATGCGCGCGGATGTTCAAGGTGGGCCAACAAACGACAGGGAGGGATCCCACTGCTGCGTCTACCATGACGACCACGATTAACAGGTGCACGATTAGCAAGTGCACAATTATCAGCTCCATCACTACCCCTCTGGCAACGAGCTGCACTTACCAGTATGACCTTATCCGAGTGGTTATTCAGTCTGTCCGGTTTGGCGCTCAAGGGCAGGGTCAAAAACTTTTGGCATATTTTGTTGTTCGAGTTGTGTATATAATGAAGCTCCAAATCTTCCTTCAGCTTATTGACATTTTCATCATCAACCTTTTCCTTTTTTTCTTTTTTGTCACTCAGATCCCTAACAGTACTTTTCTTGTGAATCCCCAAATTTGCATTAAATTTATTTACCGCTCTCATGAAGTCATCATCCATCGTATTAAAGGGTTATCGGTGGCATGGAAAAATGAAAAAAAAAAAAAAAACAAGTAATAAACGAATTATCACAAAAATGGACAAATGAAATACGACATGCCTTATGGAATCCAGGATATGCATTCCTACATGAGCAGTGAAGTAAATATGAACCGATTTGCACCTAACGGTGGGGTGGAGGGGGAAGTCATAATAAAGGTAGCCTATACATATGTACTCATGTGTTTACATTGGCCTACATCCAGAGTGTAACAAATTGGAGAAGGCATCAAAATGGGAAAACACCAAATTGTGCAAAGTAAAGGTATAGGTCAAGGTATCTACACCATTTCGAACTTGCTCAGCTGATGCGCACGTGCATATAAAGCTTCCAAACAAATGCTGCCTCACTGGTGGGGCAAATTGGCTCATATAAAACACATGCTCGTGTGCAGTCCAGCCATTTAATTGCACTCGCCTGACCTGTTAAGTCTTCCCAAGTGGCATTAGCTTTGATAATGTGCACGCCGATGGGATGGACTTGCAAATACATAAAATACATACATATATTTTTTTTCTTCCATAAGAATTAGTATTCAGTATATGCAAATATTATGACGGATGTACAAGTGAAACAGAAGTACCTCGTGCAAATGACAGCTATGCATGCTGCCATTCGAGTTATGCATTCGTTAAAATTGTTCATAACATGTCATTGCTAACTTTCACAGTTATGCGTAAACTTGTTAAAAATGCAGCTTTGGTCATTAGCTAATTGTTTTTTTTTTTTTTTTTTCTTTTACTTGCCTTATATTATTGTTAACTGTTTTGCCTTTCCTTCTTCACTTTCTCTCTTTTTTTTTTTTTTTTAAACCAGTTTTTTTTTTTTTTTTTTTTTTTTTTTTTTCTGTTGTTTTTATGAGGGCCTAACAAATTGGTAACGGTTCATTATCCTTTTGGCAATTTTGTACACGGACACAGTTTGCAGCATTGTGTCGCTTTATGATGCAGCGATCTTTTTTTACGTTTGGACGATTGTAACACAATTGTTGTTATTCTTTACAACCTATCCCAAGGGGGTAATTTTTCCCCAAAGGAACGACTTTTTTACCTCTTTTGCAATTCTCCGTTAAAATATGTTCACCAAGAAAATTTTCTCATTAGCTTTATGGCTGTATGACCACCGGTACGTTTCTATAGGAAGTAAATTATCGTTTCACCACGTCGTTAGGCAAATCCCACATGCAACATATTAAAATGTTCTTCTTGATAGGGGCACATGTGGGTGTATTTATATAATATAACATACACGCCGTTACTCATTTGATGAGAAAATTTCCCCCTACCCATTAGTATAGTTAGTAAAGTCAAATATGTTGAAAAGGTAAATAAAAGCAAACGGACTTTTTCTCCATTTTAATAAACTCCTTCCTTATTTCTATTTTTTGCAAAGAAAAAACAATTACATATATATACGTACAAGGAATTGTGAAAATGTTGTAATTTTTTTTTTTTTTTTGTCCCCCCTTTAAGTGATTGTGGAAAGTTTACAAAGTTGGGGTGCTGGTTGTTTTGGTTTGTCTCATGGGGCAAACATAAACTGTTTTAAAGACACGGCATAGAATTATGCACAACATCGGATTGGTAACCCTCCCTTTTGTGGGGGGGAAATACGTTGACCATGTCCTTTTTGTGGAATTGACACACTGCCAAATGTGTCTTTTTCTTTTTATCAATGGAGAAGACGCCTTCCCGCATGTGGCTCGCTACCCCTTTTATTTAATTTTTTCTTTTTTACGTCGACATGGGACAGTCACGTCTGCAAAGCATATTTGCACGGTTACAGAAGTGCGCATGTGTTGTTGTAACTGCTAGGGCGGTTTTACTTGCGGACGTAGCTAATGGGGTTCATTTGATTGGATGCGGCTCAAACGAGGCTGAAAACACTGCTCAACTGAAGTATCCATCAGAGTGGCAATTATGAGAAGCCATGTGGCGAACTAAAAAAAAAAAAACAAACATGCGCTAAAGACAACACGTGGTGTCTGTCAATGAATATGCACACGGGCATACTGCTCCATATGCGTATTTCCATGCTGCATTTTAAAGGACATCTTATTTGTGCGGCTATAATAAACCTTTATGTATGACACGAAATTGTGTGAATACAGGTCCTTGTTCAAACCCTCCTTTTTTTTTTTTTTTTGGTCATATATTCTTAACTTCTTCTTCCACATTTTCACCTGAACGTTCGTGCAAACTATGCCAGGGAAAAACGATTAAAAAATTAAAAACAAAAAAAAACTTGCTAAAGGCAGACAAATTTTTCCAAAAATGCGAGAAAACGAGTTAACACTACGCTAAAAAGGAATAAAATGAAATAAGATATTAAAAACAGAACCAAGGCACATCGAATGATGACAATATGACGTAAGGCATAATAAAATATTTCAAAGCATACTTTCTGTTGTTTTTATGAGGGCCTAACAAATTGG